AAACTCCCACTGCCCCACATGATGTTATGATGTGGAATACCGAAAACCAAAAATCACAAAACCATGACACTTTCATGAACCCGTGTTGGCTGGGCCTGATCCCCTGGATGCCACGCATGTGCTGTGTGATCTCACCCAAGTTGATTTGCTCCATAACTTTCCCTGGTACCAAGGTCAGGCTGACAGGCCTGTAGTTCCCCAGATCCTCCTTACGGCCCTTCTTGTAGATGGGAGTCATATCGGCAAGCCTCCAATCCTCTGGGACCTCTGCAGATAACCAGGAGCGCTGGTAGATGGCTGAGAGCTGCTCGACTGTCAATGGTTTATGGGCTGGTTCAGCCCGGTTCTGTGACTAGCGGGGCGGAGGGATTTCGAAAAATCCGCACCTCCAGAAAAGAGAAACAGGGAACCCCTAAATAATTAAAAAACAGCAGCAATGATCTGAGGAGAAACAAACTAATTTACTAAATATAGTATCGGAATGCAAAATAACACACTATAATACAATATAATTAGAATTGAAGCTAATAAATCAAATATAATGAGAGAGAGTGTACAAAAGGTGGACAGGTATCAGCATAACACTGAGGTGAGATGCGCAGTCTGGTTGAGCAGCAGGGAGACGAAGAAGAGCGGACGAAGAAGAGCACATCAGGTGACCTTGCCAGGGGTTATATATCCTCTCTGACCGCAAAGTCCCCTGGGGTACGTAGTTCTTCTCTTCCAGACAGGTTCCCAGAATTGGGGCATTAACACCTTTACTCCCAGTGCACTACATGATGTTATGATGTGGAATACCAATAACCAAAAATCGTAAAACCATGACATTCCACCCCTTATTCTATATCACTACATCATGCTTAATATATACAAACAAATCATATTTACCAAACATTAAACACACGCACACAAACAAACCTATGTATATACACATGTAATTACTGACAGCACTCCCCCAACATCAAATTCCCTTGTGGTACACATTGAACATCCTTGTTTTTCTGCATCACTCAGCATGTGGACCCAGGTCCCTGGGCAAAAACAGTTCCATGAAGAGGCTTGCCCTTCCCAGAAGCTGAAAAGATCCAAACCGCTTTACTCAGCATGTTTTTTACATGTACTACAGGGACCTTATCTCCCTTGACAGTATGTAGAGAGATAGAAGAACCATCACGATTGATAGATGCTGATAGGGAAGACTGCAGGGGTGTTGCAATGCACACAGATCACTTGTTCATCTGACACTCTACTTTTATTCTTTGTCCTGCATCTACCCAGAGTTGCAGGAGTCAGCCAGTAATATCCTGGCCCCATTCATCACCTGAATACATTTCATTACTGCGCTTAACCATGGTTGAAAGGGTTAAACCTCTGTTAGAATTCAGTCCCATACATCCAGTATGCCCAATATGGGCACGGGACTATGACCAGCCAGTTAGTGTGATAGGGTCAGCATAAGCAATTACAAATATTTATCTGAAGAAGATGCCTGTCCGAAACAGTGACATTAATGATACCACAGGGATCCCAGAGAAAGGAGCAGGGTGAGAAGGGAACATGTGAGGCACAGCAACAGGATCAGCATTTGTTAGCACCTGGAAAACAGACAGAACTTCCCGGTCCCAGAGGAACCAAGGTTAGAGAAAGCATAACTGGAAAAGAAAACAACACCAACAAAAAACATTACTGGTCCCAAATGAACCAAAGTTGGAAGGTGTCACGAGTTAGTCACACGACACGGTTCTCTTGCCAGGAAGATTTCTTTATTGCTGTAATTATCATGATCATGATGTATGTCTCTCTCTCTCTCTACTTTCTAAAGCAAGCCTTTTATATTCTAACATGCATATTCAGTACATTTCCACTAACAATCCATTGGCTAGAAAGCAAGCAAATTCCAATACAAGTCTTCATAATCAGCAGAGAGTTTATCTTATGGCTAGGTACAAACATCCCTGTTTATTCAGACCCTTGTAATGAGTAAGGAAAGGACAAGATAAGGATTAACTCTTGTTTAGGAATGTAGGTAAGCAGGATGTGTGGTCAGATAAAAAAAGGGCATCTGGAAACTCTGTTGACACAAGGAATGGGTCAGGATCAGATTACTTCTGTCAGAGACAATGGGTCTTCTCCCATGCAAAGGAGGCCCCCACTGCTCATGGCGGGACCAAATGTTGATAAGTCAGGAATGTAATGAATATGCATGTGAATTCCACT